TCAGGCATTACACTAAAACTTTTCCCCGAACATAAACTAGGTACGATGACACGGACAATATTTTTACTGGATTTGGTCCAAACTCTGTAACCAGGGAATTTTCTAGTAGAGTTGATAATTTTCATACGGGTGGAATAGCCCAGAACTTTCCGTACAAGTCTCCTTACAAAAATCAGCGACATAGTATCAAATGGCGGCAAGTGGCGGCACCTCAATGTATAATGCGCCGATAATATGGGTGAACTGCCCAAGGACCTGATGCTGTGTGCACCCGGGGCACCCAGCGAGATATAAGGCAGGCATTTCGATAGTGGTGCCATCTAGCGGTGACATCTGAACTACTCAATCATGCATACTTCGTGCATCACACAAAGTGCACCTCAGCCTATAGCACAAGACGTGTTTGGCGCCTGGCGCTAAACCCCATTATTGCTACGCCTCGGAAATTCTATTGGCCAGAACTAAAAGTTTTGCCACGGGGGCAAAGTGGGACGCATTAAACGTAGGGCCCCGTGCGTTAACATTGTGCACGGGGTAGCTGAGCGAAGTGCATTAAAATAACAGAAGACGTAAAAACTATAGAACAAAACTGGAACGAGTGAGGGCCCGCCTAGTAGGTAGGCAACCGGTTCTCTGCTCCAAGAACGTGAGAGATGGGGGGAGAGGGGGGGGGTCGCTTTCAATTATTCCGTCTCTATCGTGAGCCGTCTAAGGGATTAGGAATTTGTCTCAAGATCCGTATTTGTACATGAGGCATCCCCCCCCCCCAGCCTCCCCCGAGGGGTACTTCCCTATAAATTCACGCATACATCAATTTGTCTCCTTTTCTCGAAATTTATTTCCCCTTTATTTTCCCTTTATCTTTCTGATATTTTTCTAATTTTTTTCTAATTAATTTTTTTTAAATGATTTTTTAATGATTTTTATGATTTTTTCGATACGTCAATCTTTGAGCAAGAGGGTTTAAAATCAATACAGTTCTTGCTTTTTATGATACAAAGTTACAATTAAAATTTGAGGCTCGGAGCTCAAACCGTTTTCTTTTTTTATCGTGCGGACAGACAGACAGACAGAGAAACAAACTAACAAACAGATACGAAATTTTGATCATCAGTGGATAATAGGCTTCGCTATCTCTCAGCCAATAAGACTTTCAAATGTTTTAACAGAAATCTATGCGCAGTTTAAACGATGCAAATTTTAAGTTGAAATCTTCTTCAACAAATTGTTTTTCGATTTTTCTATTAAAGATCTTGTTTGTTTTCAATAGAAGATATTATCTGGCATCAGAAGCAGTATATTTATATCAATAGTAACTATTCATATTTGTAATCTGTAATTTGAATCTGTAAAAGTTCAAGGTTGTGATTTTTGGTGGTACCCAAGTCAGTATAAGTGGTGTGTGAAAAGGGGTTCTGAATGAAAGTGGAATGGAAGTAATTGTAGTTACTAATCTTTTTACTATCCCTCAGGTGTACTTATATGTGGGATGTGCCGTGATATCTATTGATAAACTAATCTACTTAACTTTGATAGTGAATTTGATTTGTTTAAAATAGTACCCACCTACATAATTATTATCTAGTTTTTATCACCTGAATCGTTCTGACTCATAATAAAAATAACCAGAAACAACAAGTTTAAAACTAGGGGCTCAGCTGTGATGCAATGCCTGAAGGCGCGGTATCCTCCCACATCGCGTCATTGCCATGTGTCGTGGTTGTATTCTTGGAATCAATCTTGTCGAGGGTTGGTGCTTGAGAGGAAGAAGTGGCGTGTATCTCATAGGCTCACTCGCGTTCCATAAAGGCCGACGCTGCGAGCTCCTCAGGCCACTCAGCTATACCATGGGCGCCCTGCTCGCCTTTCTCCTGTGCCTGAGCGGCCTGCAGGTCCTGGTGGCCGCCCCCCAGGACGCCAGCCAGCATCACAGCCTGCTGCACGACCTGCGCGCTACGCTCGCCGCATCGCCGCCCAAGGTCCCTTCGCCAAGAGTGAGAGCTGATACTGCTGACCAGGTCAGGAGGGAACGTCTCTTGTCAACGTCCTTGTTGTTCTTGGGGGGGGGGGGGAACTGCCTAGGACCAGTATCCTGTCCCCAGAGCCGGATTAAATAACGATTTGGAACGTTTTTTGAGTAATTTTGTAGAAATGTCGCCGTTAAAACGGCCTAAAATGGTTCTCTCATGGCCGAACACATGTGGCAAACTTTTTTTAGATGTATAAGCAACATATGCCACTCATGAAGCGTCTCTGTACTACTTTGATATATTTTTTACCCGAATTATTCGATTTTAGTGCAAAGTAGTGAAATTTTTCAACTTTGAGGCGTGGTTGGAACCTGAAGTCTTTGTCTCAGCGAAAAAACAAGGTCGGTTCCCAAAACTACACCGAAAATGGCTTGAAGTGAGGGGGGCCCGTTATTAAAATTCAAAAGTCGACCGAGTACGCTACACCCTAGTTAACAGCTCTGCGGGTTACGTTACGGCGTATAGACGATGTGATCGGGCGGCAAAAGTCAATGTGGCAACTGCCCTGCCTGCCTGTCATTTAGAACTTAAACTACGGGATTTGACTTGAATTCAAATCATAAAAATACTTGAGAACAAG